ACCACAACTTTCGTTTTGTGTGAGTACGCTAGGCTACCACAAACTTTCGTTCATGTGTGAAGACGCTACTAGCAACTTTCGTTCATGTGTGTGCTGCATAACAAGTTCTTTCTAGGTGAGTACTAACCACAACTTGTGTTTGTGTGTGAAGATACGCTACATCACAATTTTCGTTCATGTGTGAGTACTCGCTACACCACCAACGTTCGTTCATGTGTGAGTACGCTACACGACAACTTTCGTTTGTGTGTGTGAGTACTCCAGGCTAGCATTTTCGTTAGTGTGTGAGTACTCCAGGCTAGCGCTTTCGTTAGTGTGTGAGTACTCCAGGCTAGCACTTTCGTTAGTGTGTGAGTATTCCAGGCTAGCACTTTCGTTTGTGTGTGAGTACTCCAGGCTAGCGCTTTCGTTTGTGTGTGAGTACATCAGGCTAGCGCTTTCGTTAGTGTGTGAGTACTCCAGGCTAGCGCTTTCGTTTGTGTGTGAGTACTCCAGGCTAGCGCTTTCGTTTGTGTGTGAGTACTCCTGGCTAGCGCTTTCGTTAGTGTCTGAGTACTCCAGGCTAGCGCTTTTGCTTTTGTGTGAGTACTCCAGGCTAGCACTCTTGTTTGTGTGTGAGTACTCCAGGCTAGCGCTTTCGTTTGTGTGTGAGTACTCCAGGCTAGCACTTTCGTTAGTGTGTGAGTACTCCAGGCTAGCACTTTCGTTAGTGTGTGAGTACTCCAGGCTAGCACTTTCGTTTGTGTGTGAGTACTCCAGGCTAGCACTTTCGTTTGTGTGCGAGTACTCCAGGCTAGCACTTTCGTTAGTGTGTGAGTACTCCAGGCTAGCACTTTCGTTAGTGTGTGAGTACTCCAGGCTTGCACTTTCGTTTGTGTGTGAGTACTCCAGGCTAGCACTTTCGTTAGTGTGTTAGTACTCCAGGCTAGCACTTTCGTTTGTGTGTGATTACTCTAGGCTAGCACTTTCGTTAGTGTGTGAGTAGTCCAGGCTAGCACTTTCGTTAGTGTGTGAGTACTTCAGGCTAGAACTTTTGTTTGTGTGTGAGTAATTCAGGCTAGCACTTTCGTTAGTGTGTGAGTACTTCAGGCTAGCGCTTTTGTTTGTGTGTGAGTGCTTCAGGCTAGCACTTTCGTTAGTGTGTGAGTACTCCAGGCTAGCACTTTCGTTAGTGTGTGAGTACTTCAGGCTAGCACTTTCGTTAGTGTTTGAGTACTTCAGGCTAGCACTTTCGTTAGTGTGTGAGTACTTCAGGCCAGCACTTTCATTTGTGTGTGAAAATTCTTGGCTATCATTTTCGTGTGTTGTCGTCTCCAGGCTACTGTTCGAAATCGTGAGTACTCAAGGAAAGCTTGCTTAGTGTAACACTGACCCACATGCACTTTCGACGTTTCTAAGTACTCCAAACAGCACTTTCGAGTGTGTGAGCACTCAGACTACACTTTCGTTAGTGGTGTTGCTGCACTGTTTGTGTCAGAAAAATCCTATAATGGAGGATCGAGTAGCAACGTGGACAGATAAGACTTGACTTCCTTGGCAACCGTCGTCGTCTTCTTCTGTCTGTCTGTCTGTCTGTCTGTCTGTCTGTCTGTCTGTCTGTCTGTCTGTCTGTCTTCCTTCTGTCTGATCTGTCTGTCTGTCTGTCTGACTGTCTTTGTCTGTCCTGTCTGTCTGTCTGTCTGTCTGTCTGTCTGTCCTGTCTGTCTGTCTGTCTGTCTGTCTGTCTGTCTGTCTGTCTGTCTGTCTGTCTGTCTGTCTGTCTGTCCGTCCATCGTCCGTCCGTCCGTCCTCCCTGTCCGTCTGTCTGTCCCTGTCCGTCCTTGTCCGTCCGTCCGTCCGTCCGTCCGCCCGCCCGCCCGTCCATCCGTCTGTCTCTCTGTCTATCTGTCCGTCCGTCCGTCCTTCTGATCTATCTGTCCGTCTGATTGTCTGTCTGATCTATCTGTCTGTATGTTTGTCTGATCTATCTTTATGTCTGTCTGTATGTCTGTATGTATGTCTGTCTGATCTATCTGTCTGGCTGGCTTGCACAGTTCGCTAAACCTGAATGCGCGGCGACCGTGTGACGAACTTTTGTGGTCCGGGTTCACGCCTGGGTGTAGTTAGAAAAGGCACATTTCTCCCAGATTTACGGTTCCGATCGAATGGAACGACTCAAGGCCGATACTTTTAAAAAATATCTCTTCTGTCGATATCCGTAGGTACCGAGCTGTCCGTCTTAACGTCTGTTCTGTCTGTTGTCTGTCATACTGTTAAAAAATATGTCTGTGTCTGTCCGTATCTGTCCGTCCGTCGTCCGTCGTCCGTCCGTCCGTCTGTCTGTCTACCCGTCCGTCTGTCTATTGTCTGTGGTATGCTGCTATTGTGTGGTATGTATTGTACCAACAAACTTTGGATTTGTAGTCACCGTGAAAAACACAACGAGAAAGTGGCTTCCATCGAGGATTTGAACCTAGCACCTTGCCCCTCCAGTTTGTTGTGGGAATTCATATTCATTGTCAGGAGACGGCAGCATTACACGTGCAAACTTTGTCACGGACCGGCCATCTTGCCTCCGTCTTCTGCACACACAAACTGTGGATGAGATCCTCGTGCCCATTGACTCATCTCTCAGCACACCATCTGCCGCGAAGGTCGGGGGGGGGGGGGGGGGGGGTAGAAGACGATTGGGTGATATCTCACATGTCATTTTTGAGACTGCATTGTTTGGCCCTTTTCCGCGTGTTCATTTTTGGCCTGCTTCAGTGAAAGAATGGTAGTCGATTCACCTGCTATCACGAACACATTGAGTTCCTTTCCTCTGAAACCTCTTGACGTTCAGTTCGCTGCATTGGCACTGGAATATCTTGTGTGTAATGTTAGTATCAGATCATCATCATCATGTAGCAGGGCCTTTGTTCCCAACACAGTTGCCAAACATTGCCATGACTGCTTATATTTATGCATGACTAGTGCTGTCGCCACGGACTGTGCTGGTTATGTTTGAATTTTTATGTTTGGTCCCACCAGAAAGAAACACGATAACCTTAGCGAGGATTCAAACATGGGTATCGCGTATGAGAACCCTACGTTCTTATCCGTTCGGTCATCCGCTCCTCTCCCATGTCGACAGTCCTTGATATCCTCGCGTACTGCTCTCTTTTGGCATACATAATTACCAACATCATAGTATTGTTTTGTCTAGAACCATATTTATCGAATTACTGCTAAAAATGCTTTTGAAAAACTGACATTTTATATCAAAGGGAGCCGAGGTTACATTTAACGGAAAAGGGGGGGGGGTGGAAGGGGCAGGGGAGAGGGGATGTATTTGAAAAGTGGGGGAGAAGGGGGGGGGGGGTGGCGCACCCAGGCACTGACGACTGAATGTGCATCATAAATTTTGCGAGCAAATACTACACAGGACGTTCAGTACCCGTACACCTAAAAGTCAAGAACATAGTGACAAGTTACCTCTGACTTAATATACGGGAGAAAATCTCGATAACATTCAAGTGTGCCTAAAAAACAAGTTAGGAAGAAATATCAGTCACTTTCACATTAGCAAGGCATTTTTCGTAAGCTTGAATGTAATTGAACGATGAAAAGGATAATCATCATCGCCATCACTACCATCATATTGTCATCATCACCACTATCATCGTCATAATTACCACCATATTGTCATCATCACCACCATCATCATTATCACCACCACCATCATCACCACCATCATCATCATCATCACCAACACCATCATCACCACCACCATCATCATCACCACCATCATCGTCATCATCACCACCATCATCGTCATCATCATCATCACCACAATCATCATCACCACCATCATCATCACCACCATCATCGTCACCACCATCATCGTCTTCATCACCACCATCGTCATCATCACACCATCATCATCACCACCATCGTCAACACCACCATCGTCAACACCATCATCATCATCACAACCATTATCATCACAACCATTATCATCACCACCATTATCATCATCACCACCATTATCGTCATCATCACCACCACCATCATCACCACCATCATCATCACCACCATCATCGTCATCATCATCATCATCACCATCATCATCGTCATCATCACCATCATCATCATCATCACCATCATCATCACCACCATCATCATCACCACCATCATCATCACCACCATCATCGTCATCATCACCACCATCATCACCATCACCATCATCATCATCACCATCATCATCATCATCATCATCATCACCACCATCATCATTAACATCAATATCATCACCACCATCATCATTACCACCATCATCATCATGTTAGTCAGTGGTAAAACCTGACACTGAAATTGACAGATCATGACTCTGTATTGTCCCTAGTTTGTGTCACAGCACAATAAGATCCGAGTCACAGAATCCTTGTATGCTGTACTCAAACAACTATCACTACTGCACCTTTTACCGTTGCTAGTGTCTGCAAGGATGGTTTTCTAAAACCCTTCACTAGGCTCAGGAGTTTAGATATTCTTGACAGCCTCAGCTGTAAGCGTTACGGTAGGAACACATAACAATTAGACACTCAAATAATACCATCACAGTGTTACCCATTACGGTTACATTTTAATATGACTCTGTTAGAATTTAATACAATACCACGGTATAATAAGAATGTAATAATAAAGCTCCCTGGCACCGTGACACACTATTTTTAGTTAATAGAACACCATTACAGTTCAATATTTCATTATCAATTAACACAACGTTACCATCAGTATCCGATAATTTAATTTATACTTATTAAAACCGAATCCTGTTCATTTTGGGCAACATTTTAGATGTGAAAATATACCGGTTTCCTGATAAATGTTGTATCACCATGACAGTTCCCATGTTTAAGACAGTTCCCATATTTAAGACAGATCCCGTAAAGCCCAGCTGTCTCAAATTCCGATTATATGTAAACATAGCAACAGTGTCCAACAACATACTAACTGTTGGTTTACGTTGTCCTCCTCAGCTTTGACGACAGCAGCTCAATCAGCAGCGGTGAGATCAGTGACACCATCGCCGAGATCAGCACGGATGAGAACCTGACTGGATCCTCACAGGGTGCCCTCTCTGACAACCCCTACAACAGCTTGAAACGGGCACCAAAAGACATCCTGGCCATTCATGCTGTACACAACAGCAGTGCTGGAAGCCATGGTGGCTTTTCTTTTCCACATCCTGGACTGGTTACCAAGAGGGCGCCCAATCTGGGCACAAGTGCCTTTATGGGCACCGATTACAACAGTGATTCAGGATTAGGTGCTGGAAGTCCTTGGGGCAGAAAGTACTCACTCCCACAGCCAGGAAAGTTCTTAAGCAGCGACCCAAATAAATTGTTGAGTAGTGACCCTAGTGATTATGGCTATGGGTACGGCTGGCCCTCATCTAGGAGTGATGGTGGATACAGCTCTCTCCGGAAGATGTCCAGTGGCAGTAACCCAGACTACGCTTATCATTCAGAAGGCGACTACGACTCACCTCATAGACCATACTCTCCAGGTCCCGGCATGAAGAAGGACACAGAGACAAACACTGACCAGTCACACCTGATGGAAGCAAGTATGAGACGTTTACAGACTAGTAGGATGGGCAGTGCCACGCCTCCTGGCAGCAACGGAGCAGGCACACAGTTTGGTTACCGACGACCGTTGAGCAACACAAGTAACTCATCAGGGGGAAGTAACAAGAGTTCAGGGTCAAAGACTCAAGGTCCCGGTTCACCGGCCGTGGGCAGTCGTTTAGCCAAGCATGGCGTCGATGGATCACAGAGAACTCTTGTAGACGTCATGATGCCACGACCAGCCAGTGCTTCTGGAAAACCCATCAATCCAGATGTAGCAATGATGGAAGGATACAGTTCTTCAACACTGGATAGAAAGAAGAAAAGAGGCGGTCTTACTCCAAGCAAATCTGCTGGCTGTACACAGAGCGATCGTGATTACCAGTCGAACTCACTGGGCAGACGACATCTCTTTGGCAGCAAGAGCAACCTGAGTAAATCCTCTCAAGGAGACCAGCCAGTGGGAGGCTCTTCTCTCATTGGTGGAACCATCATCTCCAACCCTCATGCTACGTATGGACGGGACAAGCAGACGAGCCACTATGTCAACCTGCAGGAGTTGCACGCCAGAATGCCCGGCTCCAACTACGTGCCCCTAGAGTTCGCTTCCAGCCCCAGAAACTCAGGCATGGGCAGCCCAACCGTGGGCTCAGGAAGTATGTGGTTGAAGTCATCAGCGTCCAGTAATGGTGTTGGTTTTCCTCCACAACTGTCTCCTCATTCAGCCCACGGCTTTCACACCCACGCCTTGTCTGACTCAGAGACCTTTGAGTCTTTGGCTAACCCCCATATTCAGGTGCAGATTCAGCAGGCTCGGGCGCTGACTAATGCTCGGATGCTGGCACATCATGCAGACACGATCCCATCTTCTGTTCTCACACCTTCAGCATCCTTATCTCCTCAGTGTCTTCAGAGATCCAACAGCATCAAATCTGATAGTGCTTACTGTAGCACTAAACACTCTTCCTTGAATGAAGAACTTCCCCGTACTGCTTCCTTCTCTCAACTGCTCATCCCACAACACTCTCAGACTGTGCCCGCTTCCCCCACCTTCAGCCAGTCCTCTCGATTCACTTACCCTATTGCTCACCGCCCCACTACCTCCTCTGTGAGTGGCACGTCTGGACCCAACATGGCCAGGTCCAGTACCCAGTCTTCTCTGCCCTACTCCCACACTTGTGGGCTCAGTAAGAGGTCCGGCCAAGAGGAGGAGGACAGTCGTAAGTGTCTCCCGCACTTACTTCCCTTTCATCCCCCACTTCTGTGTGTGTGTTTTGTGTGGGTGTTTTCAGTTTTATGTATTGTTTACAACGTGTGGCTTTTTCAATTTCAGTTTCAGGTTGTGTGTTTTTGATTCCAAGTTTCATGCCATTAACGCCTGTATATGTCGTTGCACTGAGCTTGCGGTCTCTGACACAAATGTTTACAGCATGGTATTGTGTGGCAGATAGGTGGCAATAGCTAGCTATCAGTCAGAAAAATGATGCACACAGAGTTTTGTACCAGTTTAGATTAGAGACAGGAGAATACACACACAGAGTTTTGTACCAGTTTAGATTAGAGACAGGAGAATACACACAATTCTATAAATGATTCAAATCGCTGAAGGAAGCATAAGCAGCTAAGGTGGAAGCATAAGCAGCTAAGGTGGAAACATAAGCAGCTAAGGTGGAAACATAGCCAGCTATGGTGGAAACAACCAGTAAAGGTGGAAACATAACCAGCTGACGTGGAAACATAACCAGCTGAGGTGGAAACATAACCAGTTAAGGTGAAATCCCAGCCAGTCAGTATGTGCTGTGCTGAATAAGAATCTGGTTACATTCTAATGTGTCTCTCCAGATTATGGGATTCTTGTAATAATCTTCCAGACCCTGCTGGTTTCTCAGCTTGGAGAGGGAAGTGAGAACTCTGCAGCACGATGTCCATGGGGTCTTTACTTTAGGCTGAAAGACAAGTCTGAATACAAACATTATTAGAATAGGTCACCTATATACGAACAGAAGAGCCTGTTCCAGAGATCTCTTCCTGCCCTGACCCTGCGAGAAGAAGATGAAGCTAAGGAGTTGAAACCAACGTCCTCCAGGACAAAAACAATCAACCATCCTTGGCTATTAAAGGGAATTAACCACAAACATATCTTGCAGCAGTTGATTACCTTACTCTAGCTGAGTTTTCCCCCCATATTTAAAAACAAATATAAAGAAATATCTTTTAGATGCTTCAGACTTTAGGGCTTTTAAATATTAGCACATTTTAATTGTGTTAATCAAAATATTAATTAAATAAATGTTAGATTTCTCAATTAACGAAAAAGTGTTTTCAAGGTAGGGTAAAAACAAAGCTAATGAATGGTAAAGATGTTCTCATTGGCAGTACTCAGAATTGAGTAAAACATTGGTTGCTGTTCACTTCTGTCACACAGACAACATTTCTGATTCTGTGTGTGCCAGTAACTGATTTGCTGAGCCTGACGTTGTCAGAGACAGGCTGTGCTCATGTTTGAAGGAATGCTGTTTTACTGGTGCATTCTTTAATATTCATGATGAATGTTTGTGTCATTTGTTTGTGTCCGATTGTGTGTCTGCATGGCTTGAACCATTTTAAGCATGTTTGTTACTGACCATTCAAAAGAAAAGAGCGTTATCAAATTTTTTTGCTCCAGATTATGCAGGTATATAACAGGAAACTTTTGTCAAGTATAGACACATAAATAGACACGGTTATAAAATGTAGGAACCTAACAGACTCATTTAACACAGTTGACCTTTCTGCTTCACCGGGTGTTGTTCGCTTGTGATGCGGTCCTGATGCAGTTGAGCGTGTTTACGCTAGCACTTTAGTTGGCAGCAAAGGGAAGTAACACAGTTTATGAACTTTGTGTGTAGAATTGTTTCCCCTTTACAATTAACACGAAGCTATTACGTAATAAATCTTTCCGCATTAATTTGGCGCAGTGGCAAGAGTATTAACATACTAGTCGGAAGCCGCAGATGACATCCCTTTCTACCAGAAATCTCACGGTAGTGTGATTTTTGTTTCTTGAACATATGGGTCTGTGATTTGTCCCAACCCCTTAAAACTGGTAGCATAAAATTGCCTAAGATGATGATAACGACTGTTGAGCCCACTAGGACATCACACTGAACGATAAACATCTGATGACACAAAGTAACACCATTCGGATGAGGATCACCCGTGGAGAGGTCCTAAAAACACCGTTCAACTGTTGGTTATATTAGGGCCCCGGCCAACAACTGGGTGGGTCTTCAAAATAACAAAAAGTATGTCCTGCATGGGGATAAGGTTTGATTGTCTAAGAATTTAAACATGGTCAGTTTTACTGGCTACATAAGTAATAGCCTACCAGAAGTGAACAATTAGCCCACCTCCAACATGCTCATGGCATAAGACTGGTGTCTTTATTTTCAGAAAGAAAACAAAAGTGATAACAGTAATAAAATAGAAAGGAAACATTTTACCACATAGATTGCCCTTAAGTAGCTAGTGAACAGTGCTGAGGAACAGATATATCATTACGGTTTTAGGAGAATGGCACTGTGAGGAGTTATGAAGGGGATCTAGCTGACGCTCAACACTCAGGGGACAGGTGAGACGGATATACAATCAGACAGTTACTGGTACCATCAGAATTTCAACTCTTTGTTTGCTGCTGAAGATAGGGACGAAGCGCTTATGGGAGTGTCTGGAGTGCTGTGATGTCGAATCTTAATTCAACTTTCAACCACATAGACAGTGATGACATTGATACAAGCATGATAATGCAAGAAACTGTCGAACAGTTGAAGCAACCCCAGAGGGAGTGGTGTCCCTTGTTTTAGTGCTAGTCGTGTATTTCTGCTTACTAATTGTAGCCAAAAAATTAGGACAGTCTTCCACAATTTGCCTTTCAAGAAAGTAAAAGCTAGATTTTAGGTCATGAGCAGTCAGAATGCAAGGTAGTGACTTGTGTGAGATTACTGCATGTGTTTGTGTCAGGATGGCTGTAATTGGTTGTTTTTGCATGTCAATCAGGTCTGGGCCAGTCCTCCGCACTTGACTACTCATTCATTAGTGACTATGCATATTCATCTGGTAAGTCAAAAATTGAACCACTCTTTCCACCCCCCCCCCCCCCCCCCCCCCACCCATTTTCTCCCACCACACACATACACACACACATGCACACACACAAACACCATAACTAGATAAATTAAACTGCATAAAATTGACATTCTAAATTTATCCCAGAGATTCCCCATTCTCTCCCCTTCTAATGGAAGCTGCAGCAGTGTCATAGTATACTGATCTGCCAGCAGTGTAGTTCTGGTTGATCCTTGTCTAGGGCACTATAGTGTAGTTCTGGTTAATTCTTGTCTAGTGCACTATAGTGTAGTTCTGGTTGATCCTTGTCTAGTGCACTATAGTGTAGTTCTGGTTGATCCTTGTCTAGTGCACTATAGTGTAGTTCTGGTTATCCTTGTCTAGTGCACTATAGTGTAGTTCTGGTTGATCCTTGTCTAGTGCACTATAGTGTAGTTCTGGTTGATCCTTGTCTAGTGCACTATAGTGTAGTTCTGGTTGATCCTTGTCTATGGCACTATAGTGTAGTTCTGGTTGATCCTTGTCTAGTGCACTATAGTGCAGTTCTGGTTAATCCTTGTCTAGTGCACTATAGTGTAGTTCTGGTTGATCCTTGTCTAGTGCACTATAATGTAGTTCTGGTTGATCCTTGTCTAGTGCACTATAGTGTAGTTCTGGTTGATCCTTGTCTAGTGCACTATAGTGTAGTTCTGGTTGATCCTTGTCTAGTGCACTATAGTGTAGTTCTGGTTAATCCTTGTCTAGTGCACTATAGTGTAGTTCTGGTTGATCCTTGTCTAGGGCACTATAATGTAGTTCTGGTTGATCCTTGTCTAGTGCACTATAATGTAGTTCTGGTTGATCCTTGTCTAGGGCACTATAATATAGTTCTGGTTGATCCTTGTCTAGTGCACTATAGTGTAGTTCTGGTTGATCCTTGTCAGTGCACTATAGTGTAGTTCTGGTTAATCCTTGTCTAGTGCACTATAGTGTAGTTCTGGTTATCCTTGTCTAGTGCACTATAGTGTAGTTCTGGTTGATCCTTGTCTAGTGCACTATAGTGTAGTTCTGGTTGATCCTTGTCTAGTGCACTATAGTGTAGTTCTGGTTGATCCTTGTCTATGGCACTATAGTGTAGTTCTGGTTGATCCTTGTCTAGTGCACTATAGTGCAGTTCTGGTTAATCCTTGTCTAGTGCACTATAGTGTAGTTCTGGTTGATCCTTGTCTAGTGCACTATAATGTAGTTCTGGTTGATCCTTGTCTAGTGCACTATAGTGTAGTTCTGGTTGATCCTTGTCTAGTGCACTATAGTGTAGTTCTGGTTGATCCTTGTCTAGTGCACTATAGTGTAGTTCTGGTTAATCCTTGTCTAGTGCACTATAGTGTAGTTCTGGTTGATCCTTTTCTAGTGCACTATAATGTAGTTCTGGTTAATCCTTGTCTAGGGCACTATAATGTAGTTCTGGTTGATCCTTGTCTAGTGCACTATAATGTAGTTCTGGTTGATCCTTGTCTAGGGCACTATAATATAGTTCTGGTTGATCCTTGTCTAGTGCACTATAGTGTAGTTCTGGTTGATCCTTGTCTAGTGCACTATAGTGTAGTTCTGGTTAATCCTTGTCTAGTGCACTATAGTGTAGTTCTGGTTAATCCTTGTCTAGTTCACTATAGTGTAGTTCTGGTTGATCCTTTTCTAGTGCACTATAATGTAGTTCTGGTTAATCCTTGTCTAGGGCACTATAATGTAGTTCTGGTTGATCCTTGTCTAGTGCACTATAATGTAGTTCTGGTTGATCCTTGTCTAGGGCACTATAATATAGTTCTGGTTGATCCTTGTCTAGTGCACTATAGTGTAGTTCTGGTTGATCCTTGTCTAGTGCACTATAGTGTAGTTCTGGTTAATCCTTGTCTAGTGCACTATAGTGTAGTTCTGGTTAATCCTTGTCTAGTGCACTATAGTGTAGTTCTGGTCGATCCTTGTCTAGTGCACTATAGTGTAGTTCTGGTTGATCCTTGTCTAGGGCACTATAGTGTAGTTCTGGTTGATCCTTGTCTAGGGCACTATAGTGTAGTTCTGGTTAATTCTTGTCTAGTGCACTATAGTGTAGTTCTGGTTGATCCTTGTCTAGTGCACTATAGTGTAGTTCTGGTTGATCCTTGTCTAGGGCACTATAGTGTAGTTCTGGTTGATCCTTGTCTAAGGAAGTATAGTGTAGTTCTGGTTAATCCTTGTCTAAGGAAGTATAGTGTAGTTCTCGTTAATCCTTGTCTAAGGAAGTATAGTGTAGTTTCTGGTTAATCCTTGTCTAAGGAAGTATAGTGTAGTTCTGGTTAATCCTTGTCTAAGGAAGTATAGTGTAGTTCTGGTTAATTCTTGTCTAGTGCACTATAGTGTAGTTCTGGTTGATCCTTGTCTAGTGCACTATAGTGTAGTTCTGGTTGATCCTTGTCTAGGGCACTATAGTGTAGTTCTGGTTGATCCTTGTCTAAGGAAGTATAGTGTAGTTCTGGTTAATCCTTGTCTAAGGAAGTATAGTGTAGTTCTGGTTAATTCTTGTCTAAGGAAGTATAGTGTAGTTCTGGTTAATCCTTGTCTAGTGCACTATAGTGTAGTTCTGGTTAATCCTTGTCTAGTGCACTATAGTGTAGTTCTGGTTGATCCTTGTCTAGGGCACTATAATGTAGTTCTGGTTGATCCTTGTCTAGTGCACTATAATGTAGTTCTGGTTGATCCTTGTCTAGGGCACTATAATATAGTTCTGGTTGATCCTTGTCTAGTGCACTATAGTGTAGTTCTGGTTGATCCTTGTCTAGTGCACTATAGTGTAGTTCTGGTTAATCCTTGTCTAGTGCACTATAGTGTAGTTCTGGTTATCCTTGTCTAGTGCACTATAGTGTAGTTCTGGTTGATCCTTGTCTAGTGCACTATAGTGTAGTTCTGGTTGATCCTTGTCTAGTGCACTATAGTGTAGTTCTGGTTGATCCTTGTCTAGTGCACTATAGTGTAGTTCTGGTTAATCCTTGTCTAGTGCACTATAGTGTAGTTCTGGTTGATCCTTGTCTAGGGCACTATAATGTAGTTCTGGTTGATCCTTGTCTAGTGCACTATAATGTAGTTCTGGTTGATCCTTGTCTAGGGCACTATAATATAGTTCTGGTTGATCCTTGTCTAGTGCACTATAGTGTAGTTCTGGTTGATCCTTGTCTAGTGCACTATAGTGTAGTTCTGGTTAATCCTTGTCTAGTGCACTATAGTGTAGTTCTGGTTATCCTTGTCTAGTGCACTATAGTGTAGTTCTGGTTGATCCTTGTCTAGTGCACTATAGTGTAGTTCTGGTTGATCCTTGTCTAGTGCACTATAGTGTAGTTCTGGTTGATCCTTGTCTATGGCACTATAGTGTAGTTCTGGTTGATCCTTGTCTAGTGCACTATAGTGCAGTTCTGGTTAATCCTTGTCTAGTGCACTATAGTGTAGTTCTGGCTGATCCTTGTCTAGTGCACTATAATGTAGTTCTGGTTGATCCTTGTCTAGTGCACTATAGTGTAGTTCTGGTTGATCCTTGTCTAGTGCACTATAGTGTAGTTCTGGTTGATCCTTGTCTAGTGCACTATAGTGTAGTTCTGGTTAATCCTTGTCTAGTGCACTATAGTGTAGTTCTGGTTGATCCTTTTCTAGTGCACTATAATGTAGTTCTGGTTAATCCTTGTCTAGGGCACTATAATGTAGTTCTGGTTGATCCTTGTCTAGTGCACTATAATGTAGTTCTGGTTGATCCTTGTCTAGGGCACTATAATGTAGTTCTGGTTGATCCTTGTCTAGTGCACTATAATGTAGTTCTGGTTGATCCTTGTCTAGGGCACTATAATATAGTTCTGGTTGATCCTTGTCTAGTGCACTATAGTGTAGTTCTGGTTGATCCTTGTCTAGTGCACTATAGTGTAGTTCTGGTTAATCCTTGTCTAGTGCACTATAGTGTAGTTCTGGTTAATCCTTGTCTAGTGCACTATAGTGTAGTTCTGGTCGATCCTTGTCTAGTGCACTATAGTGTAGTTCTGGTTGATCCTTGTCTAGGGCACTATAGTGTAGTTCTGGTTGATCCTTGTCTAGGGCACTATAGTGTAGTTCTGGTTAATTCTTGTCTAGTGCACTATAGTGTAGTTCTGGTTGATCCTTGTCTAGTGCACTATAGTGTAGTTCTGGTTGATCCTTGTCTAGGGCACTATAGTGTAGTTCTGGTTGATCCTTGTCTAAGGAAGTATAGTGTAGTTCTGGTTAATCCTTGTCTAAGGAAGTATAGTGTAGTTCTCGTTAATCCTTGTCTAAGGAAGTATAGTGTAGTTCTGGTTAATCCTTGTGTAAGGAAGTATAGTGTAGTTCTGGTTAATCCTTGTCTAAGGAAGTATAGTGTAGTTCTGGTTAATTCTTGTCTAGTGCACTATAGTGTAGTTCTGGTTGATCCTTGTCTAGTGCACTATAGTGTAGTTCTGGTTGATCCTTGTCTAGGGCACTATAGTGTAGTTCTGGTTGATCCTTGTCTAAGGAAGTATAGTGTAGTTCTGGTTAATCCTTGTCTAAGGAAGTATAGTGTAGTTCTGGTTAATTCTTGTCTAAGGAAGTATAGTGTAGTTCTGGTTAATCCTTGTCTAAGGAAGTATAGTGTAGTTCTGGTTAATCCTTGTCTAAGGAAGTATAGTGTAGTTCTGGTTGATCCTTGTCTAGGGCACTATAGTGTAGTTCTGGTTGATCCTTGTCTAAGGAAGTATAGTGTAGTTCTGGTTAATCCTTGTCTAAGGAAGTATAGTGTAGTTCTGGTTAATCCTTGTCTAAGGAAGTATAGTGTAGTTCTGGTTAATCCTTGTCTAAGGAAGTATAGTGTAGTTCTGGTTAATCCTTGTCTAAGGAAGTATAGTGTAGTTCTGGTTAATCCTTGTCTAAGGAAGTATAGTGTAGTTCTGGTTAATCCTTGTCCATGGTGTTATAGTGTAGTTCTGGTTAATCCTTGTCTAAGGAAGTATAGTGTAGTTCTGGTTAATCCTTGTCTAAGGAAGTATAGTGTAGTTCTGGTTAATCCTTGTCTAAGGAAGTATAGTGTAGTTCTGGTTAATCCTTGTCTAAGGAAGTATAGTGTAGTTCTGGTTAATCCTAATCCATGGTGTGATAGTGTAGTTCTGCTAACAGATCATGTCAATATGATATGTCAAAGTGTGCATGATTTGTATTCATTTTTCTACATTAGATGTCTGGTCTTGAAAGTTGCTTTAAAAAAACCAAAACAAAAACCCTCAGCTTCAGATCTCAAAGACATGTGGGATGTCTCAACTGGGGATCTCATAGCTCTACCACAGACATGTGGGATGTCTCAGCTGTGTTTCCCCAGGGTGCATAGACATACAGGATTTTTGCTTAAGGCTGAAGCTAGTCATCTACAGGAGAGTGACAAGAACCAGTTCTGGTCACCAGCTTGCCCTCACAGTTTACTCAGTTGGTTTTTTTTCTGCCCTGATTTCTTTGAGATTTGTTTCTGCTATGCATTCAGGAGTTGTTATGGTTGTTTGCCTGTTTGTGATTGAAGTTAACCAATTTTTCAAAGTTATTATTGTAAAATCAATAACTTTACTAGATGTTGTCTTATTTACTGGTATAATTGTATCGTAAACTTAAGTTGAAAAGTTGGCTTGATAGATGCAGTGAAAGCAACAGTTAAATGTATTAATGAATTAATTGACATAAACTTGCAAACAACTTTTTATAAACATCAGAAAGATCATACCATTTGTTGGTGACATTATTAAACAACAAACAATGGAATGTGCTGAACATTAATGGAAAGATATAGACAAGACAATAGGAAAATATTTTTTTCTGGCATATGAAAGTTTCAACATACAAATTGATAAAAGCTGTTGGAGATCAGAGGTTGTGGAGAGTTGTGATCACCCATGCCAGTCAGCAAGGTGCTTGATGATGAGACACAGTCAGACCGTAAATACAGGCAATAGTAGAGAACATGCAAGATGACAGAAAAAAAAAAACACGGAAGTCTATCGCAACAGTAGAGATTTGAACTCGGCATTCCAACTAACAAGTCTGTTAAGGGGTCCACTCTAGTGCTAAGGGGGTCATGCACTGTGCTGAGGGGGTCATGCACTGTGCTGAAGGGGTCGTGCACTGTGCTGAAGGGGTCATGCACTGTGCTGAAGGGGTCATGCACTGTGCTGAAGGGGTCATGCACTGTGCTGAGGGGGTCATGCACTGTGCTGAAGGGGGTCATGCACTGTGCTGAAGGGGGTCATGCACTGTGCTGAGATGCTCCATCTGATGTATTTGAGGAGACTAAAGCACCAGGGGTGTGTCTGCGTTGTATAGGGGGACACTGGAGCACAATGGAAGTGTCGTGTGGAATCTGTGGGACAGGGAAGGGGGTTAACTAAAGCACCATGGAGGCATCTGTGAGCTGTAAACCTTGTTCTCCACTAGTCAAACTCCAGGCTGCTGTGTGAGCCTTGTGTGAACACTTACATGTTCCTCATAAGCAATGATATACCTAATGATTTGAGTACAATTTGGCACATTGCTGTTTATTACTTAAATAGAATAGTTTATTAAATATTGATTTTTTTTTGTGTGTGTGTGGGGGCGGGGTACTTTTTTTCTGATATCATACCGTATTGTTTTTATGGAAGCTCTAAAACTGTTAAATAAGTTGGAATATTCTGTCTACAGCAATGAAACCAGTCAATGAAATAAGTCAATGAAACCAGTCAATTTAACCAGGTTTCTGCAGCTTTCATAGTATCTTCTTTAGGCTTGATCATTTAGACATGGCTGTACATGGCTAGAATTATCTGTCAAAGTCTAATGCAACAGCAGTATCGTTGCATGGAGCAGAAACGTGAAGAATGAGATGGCTAGAATCCATTGTCAGAGTCTAGTGCAACAGCAGTATCGTTGCATGGAGCAGAGACGTGGAGAATGAGATGGCTAGAATCCATTGTCAGAGTCTAGTGCAACAGCAGTATCGTTGCATGGAGCAGAGATGTGGAGAATGAGATGGCTAGAATCCTGTGTCAGAGTCTAATGCAACAGCAGTATCGTTGCATGGAGCAGAAAACATGGAGAATGAAATGGCTAGAATAATTACTAATGTAACTGGAACGTTCATTAGTTGATGTCTGTGCAGAAAAAACCCACTAAAGTGGTATAATAGAACCTCCGTCATAGAGCCCAAGAAGTGAAGCAAACAAACCACTGACACTGAAGAGGAGAGGTAAACAGCTGACACTGAAGAGGAGAGGTAAACAGCTGACACTGGATTCGAACCATGTAAACAGAAACTCAAGAGTATACACTGAAAAAAAACAGCTGACACTGAAGGAAATGATAATAAAAAATGTATATAAAAAAAATAAACAAATAAATAACAGCATTTTTTTTTTCTAGATCCAACAAAACTAAGGAATACCAACAAAACAAAAAATAAATCTAGTGAACAGTTGGAAACAAAGATAAATAACATGGATAAAGACATTATGTAATCATCTAATACATGTGAAACCCAACATTTGAAGCCCTTTTGGCAGAAACATCCATCTCATAAATGTTTTTCCAACAGTATTGTCACCAAGATATTTTTCTTGTTTAAAATTATTTTTTCATTGGTGTTTTTGTGATTGGTTAAGGATGAGACAACTTGCCAATCATTGGTTAAGGATGAGACAACTTGCCAATTATTGGTTAAGAATGAGACAATTTGCCAATCATTGATTAAGGATGAGAAAACTTGCCAATCATTTGTTAAGGATGAGACAACTTGCCAATCATTAGTTAAGGATGAGAAAACTTGCCAATCATTTGTTAAGGATGAGACAATGTGCCAATCATTAGTTAAGGATAAGAAAACTTGCCAATCATTTGTTAAGGACGAGACAACTTGCCAGTCATTGGTTAAGGATGAGAAAACTTGCCAATCATTGGTTAAGGATGAGACAACTTGCCAATCATTGGCTAAGGATGAGACAACTTGGCAATCAATGATTTTCTTCTAAACAGTCTCTACGAACAAATCGCTGTCCCTTTATAATAATGAAATATTGTCAACGTTTGTGCAGTCACTTGCTTGTAGCAGTATGTCTATGACTGGGACAGTCACACAGATAGCACTCTCAATAGTAACAATAACTGCAGTAACAAATTTACAAGCTTTTACTAGAGACTGTTTTAATATCAAAGAATGAAACTGTTCTGTTTTAAAATTGTTCTTAATTTGCAATCTTGTCTGTAGTTCATGGATCAACTCTGTCCCTGGTTTCCAGTTCCTCCTCTGTGTACTCGTCGGTAAGTACATCTTGATTTTAATGTTTTATGTCTTCAGTGTGTCGTGTCCAACAATGTGTTATGTGTGTCCATTTTTATAAATGTCAGTTTGTGATGTGTCTCTGTGTTTTTATGTCTGTCAATGTGTTATGTGACAGTGTTTTATGTCTGTTGGTGTGTTATGTCTGTCATTGTGCTATGTCTGTCATTGTGCTATGTCTGTCATTGTGATATGTCTGTCATTGTGATATGTCTGTTATTGTGCTATGTCTGTTATTGTGCTATGTCTGTCATTGTGTTATGTCTGTCAATGTTTTTTTTTTGTCTCATCTATCAGAGGATTTGTCCTTCCACATTTGTCACTTTAGGGGTATTTCTGCTTTAATCACATCTGATCTGTCTGCTTCAGTCACAGCTGATCTGTCTGTCTCAGGCACATCTGATCTGTCTGCTTCAGCCACATCTGATCTGTCTGTTTCAGGCACATCTGATCTGTCTGCTTCAGTCACATCTGATCTGTCTGCTTCAGTCACATCTGATCTGTCTGTCTCAGGCACATCTGATCTGTCTGTCTCAGGCACATCTGATCTGTCTGTTTCAGGCACATCTGATCTGTCTGTCTCAGGCAAATCTGATCTGTTTGACTCAGGCACATCTGATCTGTCTGTCTCAGGCACATCTGATCTGTCTGCTTCAGGCACATCTGATCTGTCTGCTTCAGGCACTTCTGATCTGTCTGCTTCAGGCACATCTGATCTGTCTGCTTCAGGCACATCTGATCTGTCTGTTTCTGGCACATCTGATCTGTCTGCTTCAGTTATATCCGATCAATCTGTTTCAGTCATATCTGAAGTGACTGTGTGTGTGGGTAGCTACAGTAGTTGTATATAGATAATTGAGTGTATGTCTGGGTAGGTGGATGTTTCAGCTGGTATGTGCGAGCAGGTGAATAAATATGATTGGATGATTGTTTGTGGGTTGTGAGCAAGGCAGGAGTGTGTATGATGTATTGTGACTGGCAAGGCAGGAGTGTGTATGATGTATTGTGAGTAGCAAGGCAGGAGTGTGTATGATGTATTGTGAGTGGCAAGGCAGGAGTGTGTATGATGTATTGTGAGTGGCAAGGCAGGAGTGTGTATGATGTATTGTGAGTGGCAAGGCAGGAGTGCGAATGATGTATTGTGAGTGGCAAGGCAGGAGTGCGAATGATGTATTGTGAGTGGCAAGGCAGGAGTGTGAATGATGTATTGTGAGTGGCAAGGCAGGAGTGCGAATGATGTATTGTGAGTGGCAAGGCAGGAGTGCGAATGATGTATTGTGAGTGGCAAGGCAGGAGTGTGTATGATGTATTGTGAGTGGCAAGGCAGGAGTGCGAATGATGTATTGTGAGTGACAAGGCAGGAATGCGAATGATGTATTGTGAATGGCAAGGCAGGAGTGCGAATGATGTATTGTGAGTGGCAAGGCAGGAGTGTGTGTGATGTATTGTGAGTGGCAAGGTAGGAGTGCGAATGATGTATTGTGAGTGGCAAGGCAGGAGTGCAAATAATGTATTGTGAGTGGCAAGGCAGGAGTGTGTGTGATGTATTGTGAGTGGCAAGGCAGGAGTGCGAATGATGTAATGTAAGTGGCAAGGCAATAGTGCGAAGGATGTATTGTGAGTGGCAAGGCAGGAGTGTGAATGATGTATTGTGATTGGCAAGGCAGGAGTGTGTATGATGTATTGTGAGTGGCAAGGCAGGAGTGCGAATGATGTATTGTGAGTGGCAAGGCAGGAGTGCGAATGATGTATTGTGAGTGGCAAGGCAGGAGTGTGTATGATGTATTGTGAGTGGCAAGGCAGGAGTGCGAATGATGTTTTGTGAGTGGCAAGGCAGGAGCGTGAAAGATGTATTGTGAGTGGCAAGGCAGGAGTGTGTGTGATGTATTGTGAGTGGCAAGGCAGGAGTGCAAATGATGTATTGTGAGTGGCAAGGCAGGAGTGCGAAGGATGTATTGTGAGTGGCAAGGCAGGAGTGTGAATGATGTATTGTGAGTGGCAAGGCAGGAGTGCAAATGATGTATTGTGAGTGGCAAGGCAGGAGTGCATATGATGTATATTGTTGCAAGGCAGGAGTGTATATGATGTATATTGTGGCAAGGCAGGAGTGCAAATGATGTATTGTGAGTGGCAAGGCAGGAGTGCAAATGATGTATTGTGAGTGGCAAGGCAGGAGTGCATATGATGTATATTGTGGCAAGGCAGGAGTGCATATGATGTATATTGTGGCAAGGCAGGAGTGCAAATGATGTATTGTGAGTGGCAAGGCAGGAGTGCAAATGATGTATTGTGAGTGGCAAGCAAGAGTGCAAATGATGTATTGTGAGTGGCAAGGCAGGAGTGTGTATAATGTATTGTGAGTGGCAAGGCAGGAGTGGGTATGATGTATTGTGAATGGCAAGGCAGGAGTTCATATGATGTATTGTGAGTGGCAAGGCAGGAGTGAATATGATGTAGTGAACTTCACATGTGTTCTGATGTATGGGTTAACAGTTGTTTATGTTTCCTACACAGGCTGAGGAGAAACATGCTCATGAGGTAAGTGCCCAGAATCTTTTCTCTGATCTCCTCATCTGTATCTTTATCTTTCCAATTTTTTACATGACTCATCTTTATCTGTAATGTCATCATCACCTTATGATCCCTGACAACATCAACATCTTTGATAACATAATCAAAGAAGGAGTCACTCGCCCAACTGTTCACAGTGCAAGGCTATCATGTGGGAGTCACTGGCCCAACTGTTCACAGTGCAAGGCTATCATGTGTGAGTCACTGGCACAACAGTTCAGAGTGCAAGACTCCCATGTGGGAGTCACTGGCCCAACAGTTCAGAGTGCAAGACTCTCATGTGGGAGTCACTGGCCCAACAGTTCAGTGCAAGACTCCCACGTGGGAGTCACTGGCCCAACAGTTCAGAGTGCAAGACTCCCATGTGGGAGTCACTGGCCCAACAGTTCAGAGTGCAAGACTCCCATGTGGGAGTCACTGGCCCAACAGTTCAGAGTGCAAGACTCCCATGTGGGAGTCACTGGCCCAACAGCTCAGAGTGCAAGGCTCCCATGTGGGAGTCACTGGCCCAACAGCTCAGAGTGCAAGGCTCTCTCATGTGGCAGGCCTAAAATCAGAATCCTCACTAAGGCTGGTTTTTTTTTTTTCTGTTTACGGCAAAATAAAAATTTCTGACCTGCACAGTCTGTGGCAACAGCGCAAACCCTGCGGTTTTAAAGCCTCAGCCTTAAAAAAAAATCACACTTGCCTGCCCCACACAAGTGGTCAGTGCAGGCAGTAATAACAGTTGTTTGTTTTCTTGTTTGTTTGCCTGGTCATGAAATGTATGAAAACATCATTATCCCTGGTAAAATCATCAATCTGAAATGGTCATAATGTCTGATTACATAATTTAGCTTATAACCTTGACAACATCATACTGTATGATTATATTATTTCTCCCTGATAACATCATAATGTGTGATTATATCATCTCCACCTCTGATAACATCATAATGTGTGATTATATCATCTCCACCTCTGATAACATCATAATGTGTGATTATATCATCTCCACCTCTGATAACATCATAATGTGTGATTATGTCATCCCTATTCCTAATAACACCATAATGTGTGATTATATCATCTACACCTCTGATAACATCATAATGTGTGATTATATCATCTCCACCTCTGATAACATCATAATGTGTGATTATGTCATCCCTATCCCTGATAACACTATAATGTGTGATTATAAACACCATAGTGTGTGATTATATCATCTTCACCCCTTGATAACATCATAATATGTGATTATATCATCTGTATTCCTGATAACATCATGGTGTAGAATTATATAATCTCCACCCCAAATAATATCATAATGTGTTATTACATCATCTCTATTGCTGGTAACATCATAATATTGTGATAACATCTAAATGCCAAAGATCTGATGAATGTTCCTAAATACCAAAGATCTGATCAATGTTCCTAAATACCAAAGATCTGATCAATGTTCCTAAATGCCAAATATGTTTGTGATGTGCTGTTTTTATCTAGTCTTGTCACGTGACTAAATGACCACAGTCCACAGTACTAGGTGATCAGACCACTTGAATCTTGGACACTGCTGCCCCTGCGGTTATTTATGGCGTTTAGCGTGACCACCTGGTTTTGAAGTTTTGTCTCCATGGGAACTGTGTCTCAGAACTGTGCTTGCCCTGTCCAAGCTCAACAACTGGCCGATTTCCAGTTAGGTTGGGGATATTTAGATTTACAAAGAGTATAGTCTCTGTTTCTTGCCAGGTCATGAATTTATGACAGCAGAGTGCGGACAGGCGGATAGGCAGGGTGGCTATGATTAGATCTAGACTTAGAGACAGGCAGACAGGCAGGGTGGCTATGATTAGATCCAGACTTAGAGACAGGCGGATAGGCAGGGTGGCTATGATTAGATCTAGACTTAGAGACAGGCAGGGTGGCTATGATTAGGTCCAGACTTAGAGACAGGCGGATAGGCAGGGTGGCTATGATTAGGTCCAGACTTAGAGACAGGCGGATAGGCAGGGTGGCTATGATTAGGTCCAGACTTAGAGACAGGCGGATAGGCAGGGTGGCTATGATTAGGTCCAGACTTAGAGACAGGCGGATAGGCAGGGTGGCTATGATTAGATCTAGACTTAAAGACAGGCAGGGTGGCTATGATTAGATCTAGACTTAGAGACAGGCGGATAGGCAGGGTGGCTATGATTAGATCTAGACTTAGAGACAGGCGGATAGGCAAGGTGGCTATGATTAGATCTAGACTTAGAGACAGGCGGATAGGCAAGGTGGCTATGATTAGATCTAGACTTAGAGACAGGCGGGGTGGCTAGGCCAATAGACAGGGTGGCTATGATTAGATCTAGACTTAGAGACAGGCGGATAGGCAAGGTGGCTATGATTAGATCTAGACTTAGAGACAGGTGGATAGGCAGGGTGG